CACACACACACACACACACACACACACACACACACACACACAGCGCTAATTGGTTTCAACTTGAATCTTTAGTATTTTTCATGTTTTAATGTTTTGTGTTTTTAGGTTTAATTTTTATTTTGAGACCAAAATCTGATGCACAAAATATATTTTTGATGTTTTGAAAATAAACATTTTATAAAATTAAATGTATTTTTCCTACTTGATTAAAATACAAATGTCCATCCATCCATCCATCCATCCATCTTCTCCCGCTTATCCGTGGTCGGGTCGTGGAGGTAGCAGTTCCAGCAGAGAGCCCCAAACGTTCTTTTCCCTGGCCACATCAACCAGCTCTGACTGGGGGATCCCAAGGCGCTCCCAGGCCAGAGAAGAGATATAATCCCTCCACCTGGTCCTAGGTCTACCCCTTGGTCTCCTCTCAGCTGGACGTGCCTGGAACACCTCCCTAGGGAGGCGCCCAGGTGGCATCCTAACTAGGTGCCCGACCACCTCAACTGGCTCCTTTCGACGCGAAGGAGGAGCGGTTCAACTCCGAGTCCCTCCCGGATGACTGAACTTCTCACCTTTTTTGATGTTTTGAAAATAAACATTTTATAAAATTAAATGAATTTTTCCTACTTGATTAAAATAAAATGTGTTTATTATTATGTGTTTTTTTCAAATGCTTCCATTGGACTTCTTTGTTTACTCCCGGAACATAGTGACATCAATGTGGAACACTGGAGCATAAAGAAGCAGCTGCCGCCCTCTGCAGGACAACACAAGAACTGCAGCCTTTAACATCCACATTATTGATTTTTAGATTATTAATCTGATTGAATTAAATCATTCTAGATATCATTGTTGAACCTATAAAAGCTGCTAAATGAGATGGAAGTATTACTCAAATAAATACAAATAATCAAAGATGCAAAACCACAATGAAAAGCAAAGCAATATTTCTTTATATTTTATTTCAGTTTTTCTTTGGCAAAATAAACAAGCAGCACCGTCTCTCTTCTTTCTATGTAAATGTAGAATTATTAAGGCATTCGATCCAAACTCCAACAAGTGATCATCATTTTAATCAAACTACACTTTTATCGTAGTTTTAAATAAACTGTAAACAGATAAAAATGTCTAAAGTATTCCACATCCCTCCGGCTGTAACAGAACCCGAACACTGCTATCGTACAAGTTAACAAATATTCACCCAGAAATACAAGATCATGTGACTTTAGATCCCTGAAGTCAATTCAAAGTGTGCTTTTCTTTAAAGTGTTTAGTGTTTTCAGTTCTTTAGTTTGTCCTCAAACAGGTTTCCTATTGTCTTCTTGGTTTTATTTTGAAGGGCAAGAACAGGAAGTCAACCTGTAATCATTATGAATAAAGTTTAGGGTGGTGTTCAAATGTAAGTCAATTCAAAGTGAAGATGTGCTTTTATTTAAAGTATTTTAGTGAAATATAAAAAGTGTATTGTTTTTCTAAAATATCAAATTAGTTTCTTTCTTTTGTTTTATTTTGAAAGGACAAGAGTTTTTCCGGTTGAATCAGAAAATTATAAATATTTCTTCATTTTCTTAACTTTTAAGGAATTGAAAAAAATATGACGACATTTTCTTTAAATTTGATTAAAACGTGTTAATCCTGAAATAAATGTTATTAAAATAAAATGATGATTTTATATATGCACTATATGACTCTCACCATCCCAGGATAGTTTCAGTCAATATTACATTTATTATAATTATTTGAATACATTTACCTGAAAACCAACATGTTCTGTGTTTATATTTAAATATTTGCAGATGTCTTGTTATTTCTTCTCTAATCTTTAATCTAACCGCTCTGAAGTGTGTCCCTCCGGCTCGCCGTAGACTCAGAACGCCACGAAGTTGGCAGGAAAGATGCCTACGCGCCCGTCGCTATGACGACCCTCCCACCAATCGTACTGCGACTCGGTCTTGGTAACCACGGTGATGCTGTCGCCGGGGACGAAGCTCAGGTCGCCGGGCTGTTGCCCTGTGAACGGGTGCGTCGCCGTGACAACGAGCTCTCCACTAGCTCCTCCCCCTCCTGGACCGGGAAAATAAACAAGAAAATGTATTTCGAAGAAAACATATAAATAAATTGATTTAAACTACGAAATAAATCATAAGAACTTACTTTAATACAAATAATAATAATAATAATAATAATCGTTATAACAACAACAAAAACAATAATACAAATAAATAAAAACATTGATTACATCTTTTTCACTTTTTTTTATGTTTTCTGTCTTACAGTAGTTCTCTATTAAATACTGTAACATGATGATATCAATGTTAGTTTTTTATATGAGAAACGTACCGTTGTTTGTTGGGTTTCTGGAGGCAAACTGGCCTAAAACAGAAAATAAGGGTTATTAAAATGAGATTTCCAGACAGATAAATCAGGAAAAAATACACAATAAATGAGTTCTTGTTGTTCTTGATTACTTTTGTAATATTATTCTTTCCCTACTTATAGAAATCTTATATGATCAGACCTTTGCATAAATATTTGAAAGGCAGTGTGTAGCTGCAGGTTGTGACCACAAGAGGGTGCCACAGCTTCAAAACTAAATCACCTATTAAACTGCAGGGAGAAGGAAAGAGGTAAGGGAGAAGGAAAGAGGTAAAGGAGAAGGAAAGGTAGGAAAGAAGGAGTAAATCAAGGAAATAAGGAGGTAGTGAGAGAACACAAGCAAAGAAGGAAAGGAGGTGATAGTAAAGGAGAGTATGTAGTGGGGAAGGCAACAAGGAGGTATGAAAAGGAAACGAGGATGAAGCAGTGTTTCAGAGTGAAGATGGACAAAGTTAAAACTCACCTGAAGTCTCCGGGATGCTCGGGTACAGGGCGTTTTTATCCGTGGTGGCTGGAGGCGGCTGGTATGCAGCTGATTGTTGTTGGTATCCGGCTGGTTGTTGTTGTTGTTGGTATCCGGCTGATTGTTGTTGTTGGTATGCGGCTGGTTGTTGTTGTTGGTATGCGGCTGGTTGTTGTTGTTGTTGCTGGTATCCGGCTGGTGGTTGTTGTTGGTATCTGGCCGGTTGTTGTTGTTGTTGGTATCCGGCTGGTTGTTGTTGTTGTTGTTGTTGGTATCCGGCTGATGGTTGTTGTTGGTATCTGGCCGGTTGTTGTAGTTGTTGGTATCCGGCTGGTTGTTGTTGGTATCCGCCTGGTTGTTGTTGTTGGTATCCGCCTGGTTGTTGGTATCCGCCTGGTTGTTGTTGTTGGTATCCGGATGACGGTCTTTGCTGAGGTGGACCTGAAGGTCTGGATGGAGGACCAGATGACTAAAGAAAGAGAGGAAAGTTACGTCAAAGTTAAGTCGAAGTCCCGATAAAGACCTCCCGCTCTTTAAACACTCCTCGGTTCAGGCCCATGTTTATGTCGAAAAACACAAATTACGGAACTGATTTTACGTAGCTATGAAGACAAAGAGTGTACGGGATTAGCTTTTGTATGAAGTCGGTGGAAAGGGCGTTGTTTACCTTGGGACGCATGTTCTTGCTGGTCCAGTCGGCGGTGTAGGCGTCGGTGTATTCGTCCAGGATGTGGTAGAGATCGTAGCATTCGGGCGGCGGCTCTACGTCACCGTTCAAAATGGCCGACGCGCGGATTTCCCGTCCGTAGAACCTGAAGCACAGAAATACTCAAATAAATAAAATACAACAATACTTGAAATGAAGGTTAGCGAGCAGGTTGTGGAAAATCCCACTCCTCCCTCCCCTCCTCCAGCTCCCTCCTGACCTGTAAAGGCAGCTCAGCTGATGCAGCTCACCTGATGCTAACCCTCTCCCCCATGAACACAGAAGCTGGCCTCACGCCACTCATCAGAACCAATTGTTTGTCTGAGTAAATAACCAGTACCTTTTCATGTCCTTTGCATTGTATCTCGTAGCAGCTTGAGTCGTTTATCTCCCTATTTTCTGTACCGTTTAGATTACATATAATTATGTTAAAAGATTACTGCTTTGCTGGAATATAATCTGTTGTTTGAACTAACTAAGATGTGTTTTACTTTCCTACCAGATCAACCAGACAACAATTAAGACAAACAAGAATCAACAAATTACAATAAAAATAATAATCTGGAACTCCTGCCTCCATGTGCCCCTCTTTAAATCCACTGCGTTGATTGTTTGATCCTTCAACCAACATCCCTCAGCACCCTATCCAGCCTCAACAGCCTCAGCACCCTCACCAGCCTCACCACCCTCACCAGCCACACCAGCCTCACCAGCCTCACCACCCTCAACAGCCTCACCACCCTCACCAGCCTCACCACCCTCA